GGTTATTACTGGAATATTTTTCTAAAAAAAGCATGTACGCCACTGACTTTTTTTCTCTTGTTAGCGAAATAGTGTAAGCAGTTTAATGAAGATTAAAAGTTGTCTTTCGATATTTTGTCGACTTCGGCCTCCTTGATGAGATAAACGCAATTTTATTAATTTGCATTGACCCCAAGTCTAAAAACAACCTTTAATAAAAATGAATATAATTAACTTGCGATACTTTTAAATAAGTACTCATTGATTCCTCATCAAAAAATATGAAAAAAAGTTTCTATAAACATGGGTATGGAAATGCATAGTTTTAGAGTTACAGGATGTTAAAACTTTTTAAAATTAGTTTTTTTTGTAATTATCTGTATACCATTATTTTTCATTTAAAATTGATCTGTAGGTTGGACAAATAGTAATAATAACTAATAGTAATAATATTTAATAATAAATGAGGTAAAATATGTAATTTGTTAATTTTATTTTTATTTAAATTTTGTGATTTCTGATCTATAAAATTACGTTTATCTCATCAAGGAGGCCGAATTCGACAAAATTTTAAGAGATAACTTTCAATTGGCATTAAACGGTCTACTCAATTTTGATTTCAAAAGAAAACATGTGGCGCACATGTTTTTTTTTAAATGTTCCAGTGATAACCCATATGCACGTCCCTGATGAATTTATCGACACTTTTTTAGCATAAAAATACGTAGCACTTATAGTAACTTTTACTCTCAAAACTTCAATCGAATCACTAAAAGTACTTGGAAGAAAATTATATCGGAAAAGCAGAATCGGACCTATGTTGATATGAAAAATAAATCTTATTTTTACGTAAGTAATTTCCCACGAGAGATGGCACATGTTTTTTGAAAAACGCTGTATATAAAAAGATATATTTTTATTCTTCTAAATAATGAAGTCGAACATTTTCTAATGTGCTCCAATTTTTGGCAGGTAAAATTAATATAAATCATAATTTATTTAATATATCTATTCATTTTTGACTGAGAAAACTCCATGAACACCAATCCTCTTGATAAAGCTGTAAACAAACACTTTACGCTTCAAAAAGTTCTGCGATCTGCACTCATTATTAGAAGCAAATAAAATATTTTTTCTTTTGAAGACAATATTGAAGACAGTATCGTATTTAGATTACTGGGGTCTCGAAAACTTGGATAGAAGATCGGTTAATTGGAGGCAATGGAGGCGTTTCTATGGTAATATAATTTTTAAATTTTCGTTCTTTATAACAGATGTTATTATTCATTTTTGTAAAGTCATATTTTTTGGTATTTTAATATGTGAAAAAAGCATAAAATTTATTTAGTTCAGTGTTACGGAAAAAGTGATTATAAATTTTGCGCTTGCTTAACATTTTAAAATAGCAAAATATTTGCCGTTGGTTAAAATCAGAGGTTAAAATTAATAATAGTCGTACCATAGAAACGCGGTTTGATTTTTCGAACTTTGCTTTAACTATATTTTCATATTTTTGTATTTTTCCCTAAAACGGTGTGGGAATTTTGACAAGGTACAAACGGAATTTAAAAATTAAGCAAGTATTTTTATGAAGAATGCATTTTTAAAAGTTTCTTTCTATACAGGGTCCGGCAATAGTGTGTCAGGCATCTGTATCTCCTAGAGAGATAAAACTTGAGAATTTTGTTTAAGTGCAAACCTAAAGTATGTAGGAGGATCTATTTCAGGAAAATATTTTAGCTACGCTTTTATAGGTGGGTCATGAAAGTGTGGCGAGTGTATCGAGATGATCTTTTTTAAATGGAACACCCTGTATATTATTGCATTTTTGGCTTCTCTTGAAATCTCTTTACATAATCCCAAAATATGAGTAAATATATTTCGATAGTTTCAGATATTAATAAATAAATAAAAAATATATGGTTTTCCAGCCTTTCTTAAAAAAATTATAAAAAATACAAGAACTGTCCTGAAATCAAAACTATATTTGCTTTAGATGGTCTACACTTTGCTATAAATATCATAATCTTAAATCATACAGGATGTTTAAAATTCTACGCCGAACTTTCTAAAATATAAAATAGTCTTTCTTTCTTTTTTAAATAGTACCCTGTATATATTTTTTTTAGGTGCCCGGTGGCGTAGAGGTACAGGCTCTCGTCTACCAATCTCAAGGTGTGGGTTCGATTCCCACACACGGCATTTCATCAGCCGACTATTTTTATTAAAATAAAAATAGTTTGGGTACCTAGGTCGACTCAGCCTTAAATGAGTACTTGGAATTCACAATCCTGAGGTAATAATAGGCGGTTGAAGCGTAGTGCTAGCCACATTACCTTCCTTGTATACCGAACGGCTCTAGTATAGCAAGCTGTACCTTGCCACTCCCAAGGCGTTAAACGCTATATACTGGAGCTATTATTATTATATTATTATTTTTTCATTAGATGGAGAGTTAAAAAATTATTTTTTTTTATTTAAAGTATTTCAAAAATTTTAATAGTTTTGCAGATGCACGCAGTATTATTTCATATGGCTTTTTCAACGGTAAAATACGAGAGAAAACATTCAGTGGCTTTGATAAAAATTTACTGTGAAAAATGCCATATGAAATATAAAACTGCGAATATCTGCGAAACCGTTAATAATATTGAAATACCTTACATACAAAAAATGTCCATTTTTTAATTCTCCATCTATACAGGGTGGTCCGAACTGTATTCCGGAAACTTCGGCAGTATATTCTGCAGATAAAAATAAGTAAAAAAGTTCGTATAAATGTAAATGCTTAGTTTCAGAGATACAGGGTGTTGAAGTTTCATTTTTATTTCGATTTTTTCGAAATAATTTCTGAAATAACGTCAATATTTGGATGAAAATTGATGTCTGGGAGTTTTTTGACATGAGAAATTTAATTTTGATGTCAATATGACTCCTACTAGTAGAGGGCTACCTACGTGTGTTTTAACTGTTTTGTAGCGTAATAACTTTTTGTCCGTACCTGTATAAAACTACGTAGCGAAAAAATATACATCTTTGTGATTTTCCACGTAAAAAATATCTCTTTGTAAAAATCGCTACGAGCAACCGTTCTTAAGATATTTAGAATGGAAATAGTAAATATATTGGCGAAAACTAAACACGTTGAGTAGATAGTTATTTCACTGAAATACCTAGTACATTTGGGAAATTTTGATAATAAAACAATTTCTGTTGAACATTTGGCACAAAAACATTTCAAATTTATGATTTGAATCTAATAACTATTTAGTCAACATGTTTAATTTATGTCAATGATAACAGGTATTGATAATAACATTATAAGAAAATTGGTGCCTAGAATTTTTTTCATATGAGAAATTTGATTTTGATGTTAGTAGGACTCCTACTTGTAGAGGGCGCTACCTACATATTTTTTAACTGGTTTGAAGAGTAATAACTTCTCGTCCGTACCTGTATAAAACTACTGAGTAAAAAATATACTTTTGGAACGTTTTTTACGTAAAAAAAGTTTCTTGGTAAAAATCGCTACGAGTAATAGTTTTCGAGATATTTGGAATCGAATTTATCAATACCTGTCATCATTGACATAAATTAAACATGTTAACTAAATAGTTATTCGACTGAAATCATAAATTTGCAATGTTTTTGTGCCAAAAGTTCAACAGAAACTGTTTTATCATTATTTTTTCAAAAAAAATTATGTTTAATTTAAAAAAATAAAAAGTTCCCAAATTTTTCATTTTAGTCAAGTAACTATCTACTTAACATGTTTATTTTTTGTCAATAATGACTTGTATTGACTGTTCCCGTTCTAAATAACTTGAGAACGGTTGCTCGTAGCGATTTTTACCAAGAGACATTTTTTACGTAAAAAATCACGGAAATGTATATTTTTTCACTCAGTAGTTTTATACAGGTACGGACGAAAAGTTATTACTCTTCAAAACAGTTAAAATACGTGTAGGTGGCGCCCTCTACAAGTAGGAGTCATATTGACATCAAAATCAAATATCTCATGTCAAAAAATTCCCAGACAACAATTTTCATCCAAATATTGATGTTACTTCACAAAATATTTAGAAAAAAGTGAAATAAAAATGAAACTTCGGCACCCTGTATCTTTGAAACTAAGCATTTTAGGACATACATTTATACGAACTTTTTTACATATTTTTATCTGCAGAATATGCTGCCGAAGTTTCCGGAATACAATTCGGACCACCCTGTATAATAAAAATCCATTAAAAAAATTATTTTATATTTTAGAAAATCTGGCGTAGAACACCCTGTATGATTTACGATTACCATATATTCATAGCAAAATAAAACACTAAACCACCACAATACAAAACACTTTTACTTTACACTGAACGCGCGTTTCGCTAACCATGTTAGCATCATCAGCAGATGATTATAAACTATTTTATTTTTATTTTATTTTATTTTTATTTTTGTTTTATTATTATTTTATTAAACTAGTTTATAATCATCTGCTGATGATGTTAACATGGTTAGCGAAATGCGCGTTCAGTGTAAAAGTAAAAGTGTTTTGGTGTATTGTGGTGATTTAGTGTTTTATTTTGCTGTGTAACACCAAAGGTTCCAACCCTCAACTGTAATCATATATTCATAGCAAAGTTAAGTACAGACCATCTAAAGTAAATACCTAATATGTTTATAATTTCAGGGAAGCTCTTTATCTCTATTTTTAATTTTTTTTTTTAAGAAAGGCTGAAAAATATATTTTTTTATTTATTTATTAATATTTCTAAAACTATCGAAACCTATTTACTCATATCTTAGGATTATGTAAGGTGATCTGAAAGGAAGCCAAAAATGCAATAATACACCCTATAGAAGTTAAAATATTTTCCCGAAAATCATACTAGTATGTAATACTTTAGGTTTGCACTTCAAAATTCCCTAGTTTTTTATTCTAGGGCCTACAGATGCCCAACGCACTATTGTCGGACCCTGATATAGAATAGAGTATGTTATAAGTTCAAAAATATACATACCACTTTGCCTTCCACCACAAACCGATGGTAACATCCTCCCGGAATAACAATTAAATCTCCTGGAATCATTTCGATTCTAATCCATTCGTCGTATTTATCTCGAACGTCAAAATATCCAGATCCATGGATCACAAGGCGAAATTCATCGTGTTCGTGAAAGTGTTCGGTATTATGATTTATCAAATCCGTATCGTCTAAACCTTCTACTTTATTTATATTATGATTGTCCCGTTGTTCTATTAAGTTCTTTAGCAAAGGATCATTTTCGTAATTGTTAATATCGATCTACAAAACAACTTTTATACAATATCTAAGTACTTTTAAAGTAATTTTTAAGTTCTCTTAGTAAAATATGTAATATGTGACTGAACTCATGTGACTTTTGCAAATATCCAAAACAATAACAAATAATATTTTTATTTTAAGTTACCTGATAATATTCAATTCCGCTAGTTTTATATAATTCTTCTAAACTGATAAACTTAGGCACTAAAATTTTTTCTTCGGACAATAGCCACGCTCTTACCATTTTGCTTTACAACTACCTTTATAAGGTAACACTTTGAAAAACAACATTTAAGAATAATCAGGTGATAATCGTAAAATATAATAAAGTCGTGTGTTGACACATATTAGCAATACGAAATCGTTAACACTAGATAATAGCGGCTTAATTTGATACGCAAACAGCCATAAATACATAGACCAAGTTTGAAAATAAACAATTCCGTTAAAAATATATTATAAATTTTCTCATCTTATCAGTAGATATGGCATAAAAATGTTCTGTGTCGAAGTTTGAATATAGGATCAAATTTGAAAGAGAAAATATTCTCTAATTGGTTATAATTGGAAAATATTGTAAAATATACGGAGTTCGCCACAAAGTTCTCAATAAACATTTTTTAATCATTATTATTGATTTAACAAAAAGTCCAACAATAAAATAATTATTTAGCAAAGTCATGTGTTATCTCCAAATAGTGTGGTAGCGCCAAACTACAAATTTGTTGTTGTAATTTTCCGGGGGAATGCACATGATTTTAGTTTTATCAATATTCAGCTTAATAGTCCAAGAAAATAGGCCTTCAAATACGGAGTTTTGGTAAAAACTTGAATTTTTGATATAAGTTACTTTGAAAGATCTGAAAACGAATTGCGAAAGATTTCTTTAAATTCAACCCGAGAAGGGGTGAAATAAATAAATGAAATTATTTTATCCAAATTTTGGATAAACGGTAAGGACTAGAAAAAGAAACTTCAAAAGTTGTAGAGCGTAAACATAAAAATGGTCTCTGAAGACTTCTGAAAAAACTCTCAAACTTCACTTCTGAAAGACTCCGAAATGGTCTCTACATTTTTTGTTCTCAAGCTCAAATCAAAATTAACCGAGATAGAGTGGCTAGAAGCTAGGTAGACCTGTTCGGTGTTGAGAATTGAACACCGGTGTTAGGTGTTGATGACCACCGGTGTTTCAGTCGGTGTACCGGTGTCAACACCGACACCGGTGTTTATCTACAACACCGGTGTTTATCTTAACACCGGTGTTTATCTCAACACCGGTGTTTATCTCGACACCGATGTTTATCTCGACACCGGTGTCGGTGTCGATGTCGATGATGCCGTTTGTTTTTTTTTAGTTTTTTTAATGTAACATTTTTTAGTTTATTTTACAGCTACTTTTGTTTCTTTATGTTTTGTTTGGTTTTCTATTTGATTTTGATTAAACATTTTTTTACTTTATAGTTGTTTATCTGACGCTTCCACTTTATTTTAGTGATTAGTCTGGCAAAAAAATTATATTTAAATTTGAAAGCTTTAAGTTAAAGCCGGTGCGCTTTTATAAACGATAAAAATAAGCACCGATACGACATTATTATTATCAGGTTTATTTTGAACATATTAATTAACATTATTTCTTCTTTAACTCGTTTGCATTTATACATTCCGTACATGTATACGGCACCAGCACAATCCCATTGGTCAGATTTGAATTTTGAACCAATTAAACTCCCAGTGCCATACGCGAGTATGAAATGTAAGACAGTGCCATATGCACTTACGGAATGTACCTTAGACATTACTATTAACGCTTTGTTATAGAGCATTCCAAATTCCAACCAAAACCAAACCAACCCCACCAAATAGCTACCAGTAGTAGTAGTCGATGTCGACACCAGAACACCAGCCTATATCTGGCCACCGGTGTCAGCCTAATACCGGTGTTAAAACTAAGGGCTGAATTGTTTTCTGTGGGCTTGGGTTGTATTATTATGTATTTTTTGATTGCCAGTGTTAAAAAAATTTAAGATGTCGTGTTATTAATGATTTAAATTTTGATAAAAATGTCAATGTTTAAAAGTGTTTAAATATTTTATTGGGGCTGAACTAGATCAATTTTTATTGCTTTCAGCTTCCTTTTTGCAATTATGATTAAAATGGTATTATATACTTTTTTGTATTATCCTTATTTTTATTTATTTTATTTATTTTTGTCATATTGTCGAATTGCAAATAAAGTTATTATTATTATTATTAAAACGGTATTCCGGTGTTTGGAACAGGCCTAAGCTAGGGGACAACTTTGAATTTTTTTTTCGAAGTCCTTACTGTTTCTCCGAAATTTGGAAAAAAACACTTTATTTATATTTTTCACCCCTTCTCGGTGTGAATTAAAAAAAATCTTAATTGAAATTCATAATTTTCCAGGCAAATTGAAAAAATGTTAAATATATGAATTTTTCAGCAACTTATATATATTTTTTTTAATTTCTACTATCATCCCCTAGCTTCTAGTCACCATATCTCGGTTAATTTTGATCTGAGCAAAAAAGTATAGAGATAATTTCTATGTAAAATTGGCGCTCCACAACTTCTATTTCAACATTTTTTCTTACATCATTGAAGTTCTGTGATGAATTTTATACGTATTTTTGCCCTGAGTCTTTTTATGTTGGAGAAACCAACGTCTTATCTGTGACTAATGCCAATACCTCTTTCCTGCAGCCTGTAGTTTCCTATGTGCTGTTTCCTTTCCTCTATGTGCCAATTTTCATTAATATACAAGAACATTCACCAACAAATATTTTTTGTCTGTTTTTCGGGGGCAAAACAATTCTTGTGTAAATAACATAAAATAAGGTAATCTATTTTCTATTGATAAAAAAACACGTTTGCATCTTGTAGCACTTTATTTTTCAAACAATATTTAAATTTTTAACATTATTTTAGTATTAAAAATTGCATTATAAATATACATCCTAGCAAAAACATAGAATGTATAAATATTTGAAATAACGATATCGCCGAAAGTGGTGCATTTATTTTAAGGCAGCAAGCAGAGACGCTGAAGAACTTGGTGTAAGATTTTCTGCTGAGGATAACGATTGGCTACTGATCGGATAAAATCGCAAATTAAAATAGCATAATAGCTTATGTCGGGTTTCTCTTATTACCGATTCTGAACCGTCCTAGAACTGTGATGCGTATGCGCAGAAGGAAATATGAAGACATTATTTCATTTGCGCATGCGCTGCATAGTTCTAGGGCGGTTCAGAATCGGCAATAACAAGAACCCGAACAAAGCTAATAATAGCAACTTTTGGAGGGGCATGCCAGCAAACTACCGCACGTTAGTTTCTATCATCCAATCACTGAACCTGTCTAAAAAACTTTCAATTGTTTTATTAAATCTGCTGGCTAATATTCTTTGCTGCTGACCATTTCACACTCGCCGATGCGAGACGCCTCAGCGCCTCAGGCTTGAGACCTGAGAGCGTCATAGAATATAGGCTTGGTGCGTTCTCCGCCGGTGCTGCTACCATCGGAGAAGATCGTAAACAACTAGTACTTACAAATACACAGGTTTAAATGGCGAGAATATGAAATATATTATTCTAAAAGTGTTAGGAAGTATAATTTGTGAAAATTATAGAAATAAAAATAAAAAATTAAATATTTTGATATCTTCAGAAGGTCTAACTTATATTATAATTTATTATTTTATTTAAAAAAACTTTTTAGATGAGTTCAACTACGGTAGCGGGTATAATCACCGGTTTTGCCAGTGGGGCATAAGTGGGGCTATTTCGGTTATAACGAAATTTTTTAATGTACATAATTGTAATATTAGATGTTTTTAAAACATTTAATCACTAGTTGATTAAAAAAAGTATACCAATAATATTGCAAATTATTTTTTATCCTCTCATAGTAATGTCTATTCAATTTTTTTGATTATGTAACGAGCACTTTGTTTACTCACTTGTTTGGTTTGGTTCCATCCACACGGAATCGACGAAAAACGTAACAATATATTATATTAACGAAATTATCCACTCCAATAAATACCAAAATTATCCAAATATTGTAAAATAAACGTTGTATTCGTATTTGCAATATTTGTATAACGACTGCATATTAACAAAGCTAAACAAAAATTAGGTCAGTAAATTCTAAGTATTTATTTAAAACAATTATTATAAGTTGACATTCGGGCAAATCGGGTTATATTTGTAGAGCCCGATCCCGACAAACCCGACTTTTTTAAGGCTAAGCGCCAAATTGAGTCGTGTATGACATATTACCCACATATTATCTGGCATGACAGGTATGACGTGACATGCCACACGCACTGCGTTGTGGTCCGCAAATTGGGACACAGTTTTTCAGTGTCTCGCCTCTGAGAACGTATAAAAACGTCTGAATAAAAATGTCTGATTCGCCATCGAAGCAATTATTGTTACTAAACTTTAGTTCTGAATCAGAGTCAGATGATACTGAAAAGGAGAATTTACTGTATTCAATAATAAAAATAACACACGCGACACGCGAAAACCTGTGTCTGAAATACGGCGGGGCGTGCTGGAAAGGTCACGCAGGTCGTATCGCGCTGCTCTTTGTTTCCAATTTACGCTGTTCCGCTTATAGCTTGATTTTCATGCATCCGTTATCCGACCATACGATGATACGATATTAATTTTATTGGTTGAATTTAAAGGCTTCAATTGGTTAACCATTTCTAACCAATCGAAGTCTTTAAAATCAACCAATAAAATTAATATCGTATCATCGTATCGTCGGATAACGGATGCATGAAAATCAAGCTTATTTGTATAGTTTGCAAAAACTCGCGACGCGCCAAGTCGTGTCACATGCGATATACGCAACCCAATTGGCGCTTAGTTTTAGGTTCAGCGTTAAGTTTTTATAAACTACAGAAATAAATGAATCAGGAACAAATGAATAACGTTGGCAACAAAGCGCAGCGCGACGCGACCCGCTAACCTGACCAGTGCACGCCTACAGCGGTGTCCAGACACAGTATTTCGCGCGTCGCATGTCGCGTGCATTATTTTTATTATCGAATAAGGTAAATTTTCCTCTTAGGTACCATCTGATTCTCATTCAGAACTAAAGTTTAGTAACAATAATTGTCTCGATGGCGAATCAGTCATTTTTATTCAGACGTTTTTATACGGTTGCAGAGGCGAGTCACTGAAAAACTGCGGACCACCATGCAGCACGTGTAGCACGTACGCGTCATACCGGTCGCGCCAGGTCATGTCACACGCGATAAAATGCGACTCAATTTGTGCTTAGGCTTAGAGCGAGTTCGAGCCTGACCGAACCCAATAGAACACGTGTGAAATTTTATGTCGGTTAAACGTCTCGTCTAGACTCTAGTTACTTATT